AGGGAGGTGCGTAGGGCGACAAGCCGCAGGTGGCGGCCTGCTGGTTGTCACGAGGGCGGCAGTGAGGTTGCCTTCGGTGGCATGCTGCAGGAGGTCCGCCGGTCCCACAGCTTCAGCGGCAATTCGGCGGTGGGTACGCCGAAGGCGCGGGACCAGCGGACCTCCCGCAGGCGTGCCGCCGAAGGCAGCCTCACTGCCGTGCTTGGGGAGGCAAAATGCATAGAGCCGCCCCTGCCAAGAGGAAATGAAGGCACGCTTGTTTATAAGAAGGGAAGTCCTGACATTTAAAATTCAAGGATTGTCTAAATTAGGATGGGACTTTCACAGAAGGAGTAAGGGAGCATTGGGCTCTATATTATTCAATAGAAGCCGCATTCTGTGTCCTTCCTGCCTCCGGTCTCTCTCCAGCCCGGGGTCTTTTTCTCCTTCTGCATCAGCCTGTCGCTGAGCGATTCCAGTGACCCCCAGCTTAGAACCCTGGGTCACGTGACTATCCCCATTGACCCGAGTGCCAGCGCTGGGCTGAGTGATGTGATCAAGGGCTGAGGGGCGGGGTCTTTTATCTCCATGGTTACATCTTGTGGGTTGGGATGTCTCAGCTCCACCCATTGATACCAGCTGAGACTCGGGGCTTTGATTTACTGATGTCAGTGGGGTGAAAACAATCCACGAGCCGCTATGGAAAGTCCCGGTGGTGCTACATTCCCAGGCTCAGTGGAGTGGAGTTTATTCAAGCGCTGGGTGATCTCTGCCCAACAGCCCTGCCCGGACTCTGAATGGCCAATTTGCATATCCCAGCCTCCATCTCTCTGTGTCTCAGTCTCCCCTCTCTGAACCACGGGGCTGTGATAGTTCCCGGGCTCCCGGCGGCATTGTGGGGATAAAGGCAATAACCGCTTGTGAAGGGCGGAGATGCCCCGGTGAGGGGCCCCAAATCAGTTATAATCAACTAATCACCTTCTGCTGCATTAATGGGATAAACATCCCAGTTTGCTGAAAGGGCCAGAGCCTCCCTGGTGTAAATCCGGAGTAACTCGAGTCTAGCGGAAGCCGTTGTGGTGACTTTACTCTAGCCGAGGATTTGGCCCCAGGAGCAATTCGCTCCATCCGTTGGGTCTGATGCAAACCCCAATGCGCTTGTCCCCTTTACACTGACAGACACTATCCAGTGAGTCTGACACAGAGATGGGCCCGGGAGAGCCAACGTGCCAGGTCTCTGAGGGGAGAGCAACTCAGAACAGGATTCACTCCAGACTGGGGTTCACAGATGAAGCGACGGATCTCTGCAGGGCCGCCCAGAGGATTTAGGGGGCCTGGGGTCTTCGAAGACCCAGCACTTCGGCGGCGGGGCCCTGAGCAGAAGGACCACCCGCCGCTGAATTGCTGCCGAAAACCCGGAGCGGAAGAAGCTCCGGGGGCCTGGGACCCGCGAGAGTTTTCCGGGACCTTCGGAGCGAGGGAAGGACCCCGCTCCAGGGGCCCTGAAAAACTCTCTTGGGG